TCCAAATCGTGTACGATTATATAGTATCCATTTCTCATCATTTATATGATTATAATTCTATAATTCTATTCAAAAATAAACTTCTATTCTTTCGAGCTTTACACGATAAGCACAAAACTTTTGATCCTTTGTCAGTTAGTGACGATATCCATTTTTCCAATTTTTTCACTTTATCCATTGCACTCAAATATCTGAAAACTGTTATTGGAAATACGTCTCTCTGCTTCCACTTTGGCTTTCGATTTATTAACAGTCCTCTCATCGATAGAATCTTCTCCGAAAGCTAACCTAATATTTCGATATGCACTGTAGTCCAAGTTAAACTCGTACAAGAATAATATTCTAAATTCGTTCATTTCTCAAAAAATAATTAAACCAATTCAAAAAAGAACTTACTACACAAAGGAGATATATAAGAGGACAACGTCAAAATATGCTAAGCAAAATGTAGGTTAAGTAAAGTTTACATGTCGCGGTTGATTGTCATTTATTCTAAACTTGGCAACTTCACGTGGTACAATCTAATGCGTGGAAGGTATATTAAGGTATATTTCGAGCAAAAGTAACTAAATTTATAAGTTAAATAATATTTGTCGCATAATGTAATGTGAACGATATATTTCTTTGTTTTATCGTAAAAAAAGTGATTTTCTTTTGAAATTTTGATCGCTGTAATTTATGAAAACGTTAACTTCGTTTAACGATCTTGAATAATCACGAGCTAGTGTACCGTTTAAATTCTCATGAACGTGATGGTAGTATAGTTAAAGCTGGTACGATGTACTAACGGAAGCCCTAAGGCGGTTTAATTGTGTACGTTTTCTGTGGATTCTCGCGGGAACGACCCGAGGTTTAGGGCTCGTGAGTGACCCTATAAATTCACGTAATCTGATTTCGAGAGCAGTGAAACCGGCTTCCCTTTCGAAATCGAACCGGAGAATAATAGATTTCCGTGATTTCCGGCGACGTTTTTCCGTCAAATATTGATGGTTAGTGAATGTTGTTGAAAGTGGTCGGAAACTCCAAGGTAATCAAAGGAAATAACCAAAGACAACACGTTTTAATTAACTCGAAGGAACTTGAAATTATTTGTTTTTTTAGTAGATTAAATTCACAAAAAAAAAGTTATTATAAGTAAAAAAAAAAAAAGTGAAAAGTTTAAAAAATCTTTCATTTCCTATCGGTAAAGTGTAAACAAAAAGTGAAGACAAGATATTGAAGGAAAATTCAATCGGATACAGGCAAATATTTAACCAATTTGAGAGTTGGGCTGTTTTATCAAGCGAGAATACGCGAATAAATGTTTCGAGGATGATAAGAAGTGATTAATATCCGTGGAATCAAATCATCGTAACTAATTTACAACCTGTAAACGAAAATTCTGGTTTACAATAACAGAAGGTAACAAGAAACTTGTGATGTCTTCGCAGATTTCGCCCTTGCAATCTGGTAAAACAAGAAACGCTGTGCCACCCTCAACGAGTTACGAACTTTCATTTGTCCCACCCTAACCATTTCCTATCGGTCAAAACAATTTCGCAGTTCCTTAATAGGCTTCATAAATCAACCCGACTCGAATATCGGATCGGAAGTTAAATTTTCAAACGAAACGATATTACGATTGCGAAAAAAGAAAGGGGGGGGGGGGGAAAAATCGGGAACCGATTTTTACAAAAATGTTTTCGATATTGGATCGTATGTCATACCTTTTCTCACACTTCTGTCCTTTTTATTAAAATTCTTATGAATTTAGTTGAAATATACGATCATATAATTTACACCTAGAATCATTTTTTCTAGATATTTGATATAGAAGAATCGAATATATTCATAACGATTTCGGGAAAAGAAGAGCGAGAAGATCTGTTGAAAATGGATATCTCTCGCGAGGTATACAAATTAAAATTTTTTTAAACATGTGACGAATTATGCTAACGTAATACTCTTTAAAAAAAAATCATCGAAGATGAAACGAAGAAATTCTCAAATTGGCAATCGATTTTATCCACATTGACCCCTCTCCCCCCCCTTTCCTAAACCATTCCAAGAAACCGATAATTTTTTCCTCAAAGTTCCGCAACACGATTTTATTAACCCATTTATTTCTTCCAGATCATTTCAGAATGGAATTAGGGGGGGAGGAGGGGTGCGATACCATGATGTTATTACACTCGTCGCAAAAATATCTCTTGAGAAACGACTCGTCCGGGGAGGGGGGAGGGGTGTTTTTCCTAATCAGGAATACACCTAATAAGGGAAATTGATGATTTAGGGGAGGGAAGGAGAAAAATAATAAGAATAACCGTCGACGGGGGGTACACAATGAAATTAAGTCTCGGGGAAAAAAGGTTTCGAACCCTCTGGCGAAAGGTGCGAAATCTCGAAGGGTGGCCCGCCCCTCCCTCTTCCTCTTCCTCTTCCTTATTTCTCGTCCCTTCTACTCTCGAACCGACTTCGCTTTCGTCGCTCTCTCGCTCGCGGCCAAAATGAAAAATGGCTTCTTATCGGGACCTTGCGCAACTTTTCTTTCGAGTGGACGTATAAATTACGGGACACCCGATAGAGAGTCGTGGGGTCGTGGGGATCCCTGATATCTCCAAACAGCTCGAACGAAAATAATGCGCTCTGGGGATACTCGAAGAGCATCGAGAGCTTCTTACAAGGTATTAAACCTTTCATCGATTGTAATCGCATTTTGCCTTTAAGAGGTACTCGATGGTCGAATTTAATTTAGACAAGTTTTCAATTTCAATTGAAACGAAACGGACAACGATCTATATTTTCGTTAGGGAAAATTTGGAATGCATCAATGAAGATGAAAATTTGATAAAAATATTTTTTTTTTTTTTTTAAAGAACGAACATAATTTTATAAAATTGATTTATAAATTTTAAAAGGACGTATTGATCGTCATCGATATACGGGGAGAATAGGAGCGTTTCTCTAAGCTGGTTCGATAAATTAATAATGAATGACAAACACAGAGCCGGGAACTCGATCAGAAACTATTAGCCGCCCCAAAAACGGCCCGACCCTCTAGGAAGAAAAGAAATTGGCATTGTGAAAGAATCTCGAATAGGCGTATTCCGTTCTAAATTGGATCCTTCGAATCTTGTCCTCCGCTTTTATTTCGAAGTATTGTTCTTCCAATCTTCTCGTCCGGCCAACCATTTGAAGGAAACGATTCGCAGCCCACGAGACTGGGACACATCTCGGGGAGATAACGATTGAAAGCTTAATTCAATTACCTTTCAATTCGCTTTAATTAGTTCTGGTGCGGAAGTAACGAATTGCGGAATATCCGCTTGTTATCACTGCAAATTGTTTGCCGATATGATTGAATTTTCTATTTCCATTCCTTCTTATTTTATCAAATACTATGATTTTTTTTTTTTTTTGATATCTTGTTAACCTAAATTTTTTACCAATATTTTTACTCTTGAAAATAATTTTTGGTATTAAAAGTTATCGTTAGAAATTTTGGAAAAGTAAATACATTTTAAATAGATTGAAAAAAAAAAAATACTCAAAAGAAGTTTTTTTTTATTTCGACGAATTACAGATTGAATGATTCGTCGACGAGAAAGCGAAATTTTTCAAGCTTAAGGTGAACGCACGATATACGTGTAAAAGTATTGTACGAAGATTCCAACCCCATTGGACCAATCTATCCGGTTATTTCACTGAAGAATTGATCGGATGTAATTTGTCTTAAATTTTATTCGAAAGAATTTTCTTGCTATTCTAGAAACGACGTTACACGTGATTTCATAAAACATTTATGACTGGATGTTTTTGACTGGATGTGTATGTTTATGCAAATGTATATTTTTATAGAAGGCAATTAGAATAATGGAAGAGAATTTTTCTTTGTTCTTAGAAAGAATTAAAAATATATTTTTAGTACTTTAATATTTTAACATATCTATTAATATAATTATTGTAATATATCTATTATTAAAAAATAGTAAAATTTTGAAGACTTGAATGATTACAATAGAATAACAAGAGATATTAATCTATAATCTAACAAGTAGAAGAAAAAAATAGAAAAAAATATTGTAATATATATAATGTATATATATAATATTATCATATTATGTTAGTTCTAGAATATGACACTAGGCTACGTTTCTTCTTTTGTTTTCTCGCTAGTGGTAGTAAGCACATATTTTTCTATATAAAGATAAATTTAATAAAATTCCCTAGTAGGATATGAAGAAAAGTGAGTGAAGACTTAACTATGATTCATCCTACTTTTACGTAGGGACGTAATTCTGATCCTCTTTTAAAATTTTCTTAATAATTGATAATAAATTTTATTTAAATTTCATTTTCAATTTTTTTTTTTGTTTTCAAATACATTTTAATATCTAAATAACACCGTAATAATTAATATATATTTATATAGAGAAAATAAATAGATAAAAATAATAGTGATCGAAATATTTAGATTAAAAATCACCATATATTAATGATATGTTTCCATAAATATTTATACGTATATAAAATATTTCATATAAATAATATAAATTGAAAAATTTAAAAGTTTGCAAAGCTTTTATTTTATTCATCTATTTTATCTATTATAAAAATCTTTTAAAAAAATATATATTAAAAATAGTATGATATAGTTCCTATGATAGCTTTTTTAATTATTAAATATTTAATAACTTATATGGAAATAGAATGAAAAAATAAATAAAAATAAATATGTTGAACTATAAAATATGAATAATAATCCAATAGTATTAAACTTTGCATATAATGTATTTATTTTCTGCTAATATTTTTATATTTTTTTATATGCATGTATATTAAAAATTAAGTTTATTTTTTATTTGTTAGTTACATTTTCAACTATCAATGAACGTAGCATAAGGTTGTAGTGCGTTGATTCTACCCTAGATGGCAACTCATACACGATGCTATTTTTATCATTAGAGTTCTCATTCTAACCTATCTATTTAATGTGGTCAAGTATGAAAAGATCGCATAGGATCAATGGATCCTGTTAATTTTCGTGTTTAATTTCAGTTTCGGGAATGAAATAAAAGACGTTCGTTATAGGTTGAGTGTGGATTAACAAGTGCAAGATTAAAAAAAAATGGAAGTGACTTCTTCGAGTGAGTAATCGGAAAAGATAAATACATTATTTATACTATCAGTCTTTGTAATGAAATTGAGAACGGGATATGTACTCGTAATGTTCTACTTTCTATATGATTAATTTACAATGAAAACTTTCTTTGTATATATGTATTGTTTTCTAAATATGATAGAAACGGAAATAATTTTGAGGAAAATGTTAAGATACATAAAATAAGGTCTTTCTTTCTCACATAATCTACACTATTATTGTTGTGTACTTTTCTTCATTATTTTTATATTATAATATAACTATAAATTTATAATTTATAAATTTGTGATGAAAATGGCTTACAAAACATTATTTTTCGTATTCTTTGACAGGTAATATGATTCACTATAAATAGAATCATATAGAATTTGTAGCTTTCTAGGTTATGGTTTGGATATAGGCAAAAAATTATGATATTTATTAAAATATATAATAAATATATAATAATTGGTATAATGGACAAAATATTCTTAAGATGGAATCAATAGTATTTAAAATGAGATTGTTGTTAATTGAAGATTTTTGAAGAAAATATATGTTTTTGTCATGATATACATTGCAAGCACAAGAGGTTAAGAAACAACATATAAATGTCATTTGAAGTACATACATAAGAAAGAAACGAAAGGCATAATTAACAATTTATGATTATAATAATTTCAGAATAATATTAGTAATAAAGATAAATATTAATAATAAAATAATGTTGTAAAATGCATAATATTAATATTAGATTTAATCAATTTTTTGAAATGTATTGTTTTTATTTATTTTTTTTTTTTTTTACCTATCTTAATCATTTATAAATATGAAATATAAATTTCATATTAATGTCATATAGCTATGATATTAAAAAATAATAATATTATATTTCTTTGCTAAATTTTATTTTATATAATGCTTGCACAAATTATGAGAAATATAAATTTAATTTTTTATATTAATATGGTTTTTTCACTTTGTAACCTACTCCTGTTCCTGTTAAAAGTAGTAACTAATCTATTTGTAGATAATAGCGGAATTAATAATTTATGTTTTTATAATATTATACTTTAATATTTTAATAATTTACGATATTATATCAATGCCATATTTTATATAAATATTCTCATTTTATATGATTGTGGAAATTTAAGTAAAATTAACATTTTAGCTGATGTATGATATTCAAAAATTTGAAAAATTTATATTTATTACATGTTTCATAATTTTTTCAAATTAAATTTTTTTTTTAAATTTAAATTTTATTTAGATAAATTATTATCTAACTCGTAATTGAATTGTTTTCAAAAAAAATATATTTTAGATGTTCATCTTTCAATTTTTCAATTAAAATTGAATATCATTTTTAATAATTAAGCAATAATATTTAAATAATATAAGAATAAAAATTTACTTACCATTCGAATCTTCTTTCTTAAAGAATTTCCGCGCGAAAAATTCTTGATTGACGTCAGGAAGTGATTATGAATTTATAAATTTCTGATATTATTGCAAATTATACTTCCACAAATGTTTATACACATGTTTTACATATAACACTATATAAATAACATGTTTTAAGAATTAATTACTTATTTATTTATAACATTTATTCGTTAATAATTATTGAATTCACAGTAGATTAACGCATTAGATTCAAAAATTGCAAAGGCACTACTACCAACTTCTGATCATGAAAAATATTTCTGTACATATAATCGCAAAATTTAACTTTACGTTTTAAGTCAATACAAGTATTAAAATAAATATTCAATATTTAATATTATAAATATTATAAAATATTTTTAATAATATCATATTTTTTATTATTTTATAATATAATAATTTTAAATAATAATTTTAAATTTCATAAAAATTATTTGAAATGTATTCATATACATATTTTTTCTAAAATTTAATTAAAATTTTATATTTTTTTTTTTTACAGATTTTCAAGAGGTCCTAGTGGAATTAGATGAAATTTTGAAAAATGCAACATTTCTTTGTATCGATGGAGAATTTACAGGACTTAATTCAGGACCTGATGCCGGTGTCTTTGATACACCTGCTCAGTATTATGCAAAATTAAGAACAGGATCAATGGATTTTCTTCTTATACAATTTGGCCTTTCTGTCTTTACATTTAATAAAGAAATGCAAAAGTATGAAATTAATTTCTATTTTTAATAAAAATTTTAAAATTGATTATAAAATTATTTTACTAATAATTTTTCTTTTTCTTAAAGGTATAATCAACGATCGTATAATTTTTATGTTTTTCCACGTCCGTTAAATCGTACGGCTCCAGATTGTAGATTTATGTGTCAAACTTCCAGTATATCATTTCTAGCGTCACAAGGATTCGATTTTAATAAACTTTTCAAATTGGGCATTCCTTATTTAACCGCAAATGAAGAAGAAAAATTGATGAAACGATTAGAGGAAAAACAGAGGATAAGAGATGAAGCAGCAGAAATATTACCTATTTCGGACGTCGAAAGACCTCAGATTGAAGAGATTTGGTAAATTAATTAATATTTTCTTTGTATTAATATAATAAAAATTAATTGAAAATCATTTTAGTTCGAGGATAGATGAATTTGTCACTTCCGAAACAGAAGAACTATTGATAGAAAAATGTAATGCTTTCATTAGACGACTCGTGTATCAGGAAGTAAAATTAAGATGGCCAAACAAATTAAAAGTTGAAAGTAAAATGAACAATTTTGGATGCAGTCTTGTAGTACAAAGATTAGGAACTAAGGAAGAAGAAGAACAAAGAGAGATTGAGAAAAGAGAAAGAGAAAAGACAGAAATTCAACAAGCAGTTGGATTAAGTATTCTTATGAGGAAAATTGCAGATTCCGTACGTTTAGTTATTTGTATTAATGATTTATACAATAAATAAAATATAATTTATAATAAAGTACATTTTTGTTCTAGGGAAAATTAATAGTTGGTCATAATATGTTATTAGATCTCTGTCATATAGTACATCAATTTTTTGGACAATTACCGGAATCATATTTGGAGTTTAAGAGTCTTGTTCATAGTCTATTTCCAAGGTAAAAATTTTCAATATTTATTTTTCTGAATACTTGTATAATATTTAGATAAACGTGCTTATTATATGACATTTTTTTTGTAGAATTTTAGATACAAAAATAATTTGCCATTCGCAGCAATTTAAGGAAAATATACCATCGTCGAATTTAGGTATATTACTAGAAACTGTTAGTAAATCACCGTTTAAAATTACAGAAGTGGAACCTACCGATGGTAGAAGTTATTCTACATTATCAGAAAAATGTCACGAGGCTGGTTACGATGCATATATAACTGGAATATGTTTCATTGCATTGTCCAATTATCTTGGTTAGTAATTAGCACAATATTATACAAGCATCACATATAAATTATTCTAATTATACTTTCTGCTTTTCAGGTACCTTACAAAAACCTGAAATGCCGATAGTTTTATCGGATTCACCTTTACTCAATCCATTTTTAAATAAGTAGGTTTTTTTCTACTATACTTAATATCTTTCAATATATTTATTACAATATTATATAATTTATAATTTTGTTTCAGACTTCTCATAGCAAGATTAAAAGATGTGCCGTATATAAATCTTGTTGGAGACGATCGTAAACATCTTTCTTTAATTCTATTATTTTATTTACAAGTTTTAATTGAATCATTATATTAATAATTTATATTTTATTCTTTCAGCTAACCCAAGTAGAGATCATGTATTCCATTTAACATTCCCAAAAGAGTGGAAATTTAATGACATATCTCACTTGTTTAGTCCATTTGGTAAGTATGTAAATATGTATTCCGATCCTTTTTATTTGATAACTATCTTTATTTATACAAATAGAATACTAATAGAATTAAAATCATTTATGTTACAGGAAGTGTGCATGTGTCATGGTTAAGTGATATATCCGCATACATAGAATTACATCGTCGGGATCAAGTCAACGAGGTGATGAAAGTTCTAGCTAAAACGAGTACCTATAAATTACAAAGGTATGCTGATTACCAAGCTTCTTTAGAAAGCTTCAATACAGGAGAGCGCAAACGAAAATTATCTTCGTCCGAGTAAGTAGAAATATTTTATATTTCATATTTTTCATTAGATTTTTCTTTCAATATTGTGATACAAATAGAACAAATGAATACTTTTTTTTACTTCGAATAACTGCAAAATAATCTAATATTAAATTCTATGCATACCTCATATGAATTTCATCATAAACAGAAATTTGACATAAATTTAATTTTTCAAACATGTTTACATCATGCATAAGATGTAATCTTGAATTATACGTGATCATTATAATAACTAACGATAGCGTCATGAAATTATTAATTTTTCCTCGTTAACTTTTCATCTTCTTCACACCAGTAATTCTTTTTTTTTTTTTTTTTTTTTTTTGTTCAATTAATTTATCTTTATCGACAATGTTTACAGCAAAATCGTTGATTACTGAACACGCTTATAGAAGTAGTGGCGAATAATTCGATTCATCATAGCCATAAGTTATAAGCTAAAGACGGAAGTGTTGATATCGCAAGATGCGGGATATTAAACGTTGGCAAGAGTTCAGGTGTCATAACTTAAAAGAAGGAAGAGTAACGTGTTATCGGAGACCGAGGAATAAGTCGTACGCTGGTTGATGGTAATTTCAAACATGCCGTGGCTGAAAGAAAACGGCGTGGATGAGCAGAGAGAGAGGCGACGTTTCGTAGTCTGGTCGGCTTCTTAGGATTTCCTGTACACGAGAGATTTGCATAGGGTCGTAGAGCTCATTCTAAATTAATGCCAACGACGCTTGTTACACGCGTGTCTTGACTTCCTCCTTCTTCAGCTGCTGCCGCCGCCTTCTGCGCTTTCCTATTTTTCCCGTTGCTCTTGCCACGTTCGACGCTTCTTCTCTCTTCGTCCATTCCTTTGCCACCTTCGTTCCTCCTCGATCACCATGCTATAGGGTCGCCAGTAAATCAGAGTTCCTCGCCCTTGTCGACGAGACTTATCGGAGGCGGCGATCGCGTATCGATCTTGCTGCTATCAATAAATTGATCGATGCGTATTGAAAAATGATTTCTAAGTGGTGATTAATGGATCTACGATGTTCAGGAACAGTTCGAAAGAGGGAATTGATGTTGTTTCGTATAATGTTAGACAGAGGCACTTTAGCAAGTAGTGAATTCGATCTTCTTAATCATACGCGTTTGATAGGTGTGTTGTAAATTATCCAACTTGTTCCAAGTTGCCAATTGTTTCGATTTAGAAAGTCTACGAGTCAATTTTGACTTTTTAACTAGATTATATATTTTGTACATATGATTTCATCGTGAAATATATTTTTAAAACAGTAACAATCAGTTATTAATTAATTGTAATTAATCAATTATAACAATTGTATCTTTAAACGGATATACCGATTGAAGATAAGTCTATTAACTTTTACAATAATAAAACTCGATGTGATAATAATTAGATGAGATAATAACGAGATAATAATTGTGATCGAGGAAGAGAAGACATTTGTTTGAATGAAAAGATCGTTCGAAACCGTTCGTAGAATCAACCATGGCGACGTATAACACCCAATCGGGCTCATTACGAGTACAAACGAGCCGCATTGCCCACGTGCGAATAAAAGCAAAAACTAGCGTCGGTATTAGGGATCTTGATTAGAATAATGCAACACGTTTCGAATAACGTGTCGTGTCGCTCGACGGGGACGCGTCCGTAATGCAAATGCGCGCGTATGAATCAGTTAGAACAGACATGTGGACAACCACCACGGGTGGATTTTCAAATTGGAATGAGAGGATACACTTCTTTTTACTGAAAAAAGAAAAAAAAAAGGACACGCACTCTCGCAATGAAATCACTCTGTTGCCGAGTATTCCGCACTCGTTTCACTCTCTCTATTCATTTTGCCGTTTAATTACTACACTGTTGAATTGCCAGTGTTAATACGCGCTCTACGAAATGACCAGATATACATACACGTACATCTTGACGTGTACAATTCGACGAACAAACATGTTACATGTCGGATGGCAAATTTGTAAAATTTTCTTTTTTTAAATTTAAAAAAACACTTATTGATTAATGATATATATTTGATAAAATATTTACAGACTTACATTCTAAAAGAAAAGAAAGATCTCTACGAGTTATTACAATTCCAGGAGGGTATGCGAACATTCATTTTTCCTGAGCGACAACAACATTGTATCCCCGTAATTGCTTAATTACCCTTGCAATGCGTCATTCGCGGTTTACCCGAATACATCGCGTTAAATACACACTTATTAGAATCGCAAATACACTAGCCGGCCGCGGTGCATTATCTCGGGTATTTATTTACGGAACTATAAATAAGAACGCCGGCAGATACAGCGCGACAATTTATAATGGCGAACGTGCGGCACGGTAATAGCCGTATAAATTACAATTTGAGTCGAACACCGGCTCGTCCGTTTTTCCCCCGTGGTCTTCAGCTTTCTTAAAACGCCATTTAAATCATATCGATTGGAAAAATCCACTCACGCGTGTGGGTTCTCCACCATTCCTTCGTCGTGTTCAGACCGGGTTTGGACATTGCTGGAATTTAAAAAATGATCGTTAAAACGATATATTATCTTAGTCGGCCAGATTCTCGCTTCACAACAATTCTTTATCGCGATAAATCTTTATTTCGATCAAAGTTGGTCATTAATGGATTGAAAAATTAATTAGAATTTCGAATAATTATTTAAAATGTTCGAATAACATTTATTGATATCTACTATACACTTCCACATGACATTTCTATAATGCCAAAAATATTGTCATTATTGTTTCCGTATAAAGCGATTTCTATAATGCTTTTTTTTTTTTCAATCAATAGTATACATACCTGTTGTTTTTATTTTTAAAATTATCCCATTTGACGTACATCAAAGAGAAAAAAGTTGACAATAATCAAACATATTACTCTATATTATTCATTTTATTATAAAAATTGTCATATTTTCCATATTTTCTCTAGATTTTCCATAGAATTCATTGCAATGTATTAATCTTATACAAGCCTTATAAAAAATCCACCGTACAGTTGACTCCTAACCTCGTCGTTCGCTGCAAATAACCGTTTTGAATAAATTATTCAAATAACTTGTCGTTGAGCCAACTTTATCCTTAACTTAAACCATATAAAATTTCCATTCTCATCCTCACGCTCCGTTTCGAAGAACACTATTCCAGATGTGAAAATTCGTCTCGAATCTCTTTTTCCCCCGTCTGTTTTATGATTTGCCGGAGTGCATAATGAACACGCCATAGCCGGGCACACGTGTATCTCTTACACGGTCTCGCGCATGCGTGTGCGCGTGATGTCCGGATACTCCGGCATGCCCCATAAGCATATATCACTTGCCGGTACCAATGCATCACTCGGCAAACGCGCGCCAACACCATCGCGGACTGCTTCTGTGTCGCATGGCAACTTTTATCCGGTGCCGCGTCCTTTCCTCCTTTCCTCCTTTCCTCCTTTCCTCCGCGTTTCCTCCTTCGCTCCGCCAACAACCTTCTTTCCCTCGGCAAAGAGGCTTTCGTGTCACGCGGAAACACCGCGGCGAGACCTGGTAATTTATCGACCATGATGGCTCGCGTGCCATGCCCTTAAGGACGATCCGCTTCCAACCACCATCCCTTCGACGCTTCGATAATTTTCATCACTCTCTTCCTTCTTATTATCAGCTTTATGTACCTGCCTCGTTTATCCTCGTTTAACATTTCTCCGGACGCGACCAGTTTTGATCATTGTGGAGTACACCGTGCATTATCGATGCACAATCGATAAAATCGTGAGGAGAATCGTGTATGTGTGAACTATATTTTTGTGTACGATGGGTGATAGTGTTCGGTGTGTTGTTTAAAAAGATGTAAAAAGGAGGAGTTCTTTAAAGTTTGGATCGAGCAATTTAAAAAATTGTGTAAAAAAAAAAAAAATTAGAAATTATTATTGACCAGAGGAAAAAAATAAAAATCGGAAAAGAAATTTAAAATATATTTTTTTGCGCAAAATTTCATCGGTTAACATCGTTAAAACTTTGCAGTTTTTTCATTTATAGTTGTAATCTAAAAAAAATTTTACATTTTTCAATGCCAATATTTTTTTCACACGTTTCAAATTGTTTAATCCAAACAATGATTTTTTTTTAAAAATTATCTTAAAAATTTATTTTTATCTTAATCTCATTCCGTTTTAAAAATTATTCGAATATTATCGCGTATGCTTTACTTTACCTTTATAAATAGCGTATATTTTCTACAACTTTCGGTTTTTCTTCAACTTATTTGCCATATCCTTAATCAGAAAGAAAACAAATTACAATTAGCATAGCTAAATATAGTTCAACTTTTTTTTTTTTTCTGAACTTATATCATTCTTGAACAGAAAATAAATTTTATGATAAATATCCATATTCTACGAAGTGTGATAAAAATTATCCGTTCGACATATATCATTGGCTGAAAGTTAAACAATTCGTCGAGTAGATGAATGAAAACGGCAGTATCTCGTTATCCCGCGTGTAATTAAAATTTTTCCACGACCGCGTGGAAGGAAAGAAAGTGACGAAGAATCCGGCCACTTTGCATATCGGTGGTTAACTGGCGTTGGTGATTTCAATGGACAGCCAGCGAATCGAAGCAATTCGCGGCGTGTAATGACAATTTACGAGGCGAATTTCTGTGCGACCGTGGATTAAGCTATTAATATCAACCGTGAGGACATTGATCCTTGCCATCTTCGAAAAGAGAAAGATTTGCATCTCTACCACTCTTATTAAATGTTATTTATCGCAACCGCGATTCGTTCATTAAAGAAATTATTAGACACATGCCTCGGTCACGTTAGTAACCGACAGTCGATAAATTTGTCAAATAGCGATGGGATCAAGCTCGCATTTCGAATCTTTCACGAGTATTTCGAAAAGAAAGGGGGGAGAATGAAATTCGGATTTAAATTCGTCGAAAAGTTTTATGGTTGCGCGATTCGAATAACAAACGAAAATACAAAAAGATTGTTGAATTTCATGAGTGTTTTCAAAATTCAGAATTCGAGTCTCGAAGGGAAATCGAATTTTTCGAAATATCATCTCTAATTTTTACTCGGTTTCGCGTTAAACTCGATCCCATCGCTACCGTTTTTTTCGAAACGATCGAGGATATATACGGAACATTGTAGCAACGCTAGACATTTTTATTACACCGATCGGCCGGTTAAACAGATCGTGGCTCGCGGACACGGTTGTCGGGAGGCACGAATTTATGCTTCGACCGTGCGCGAAATGAGGCGCGTTAAGGGTCTTTGGAAACAGCGACAACCGTAACGGTGACGTTTATTGTTTCATCGACACTCTCTATTTTTCCGTAATGAAACCGATATTAATCGTACGGGGCCGTATATTCCCTCCACTGTTCGATAAATTTCGATCTATACTACGTTTCGTTACCGAAGCGAGCCCAAAAAAAGTATCCTATCCTGTGCGCTCTTGTGTGCGTTAATCGCCGTGAAACAGATTACCGAGCTCCACCGTTCGAGTAATTAACCTCGCCTCGAAACGATGGCGGATCCCTGGCTTCTAGTAGCCTTCTTTGGCGCGGTAAATTATAAAAAAGAATTGAAATTGAACCGTGCGTTAAATCGGAAGTCTTTTAAAATAGGCTTTTAAAATTCGTAATAACTTCGAACGTCCTGTACGATTATTAATTATAATTTTTGACGATAAAGGAAAAAATAATCGCATTCACAATTTATATACTTTCGCCGATACCCTTTTGCTTTTTATTCCATTTTCTTCTCTCAAGTGAGACGTCAACTTCTCGCAACGAGAAATGAGATTCTAATTGTATTTTATGAAAGTGTCACGTTATCGCGTTAAACGAGATACAGGCAGGATAAATAAAAAAAAAAAAAAGAAAAAGAAAAAATACAGATATCCATTAGAAACGATATCGACATTTAATAGGTTAGTTTTACAAGGATATCTGATGATATTTTCATACGTCGAGATAATGTTCGCGGTTTGAAAAAGGTAAACCTAGCGGGAGGTAGTAGATTTCCATGCATAATGCAAATACTTTCAACAAGCCAGTACAGCGAGCCACAGTATTCTCTGTATCTGGCTTTAGACTTTAGGGATCACGGTTGTAACGAGTTTAACACGCTTTGGATTTACCCCTCCTCTCCCTTCTCCTCCTCTTTCCTTTTCTTTTGCTTCTCCTTTTCTTCTTGCCGAAGAGAATCAAACGGTTTCTCGAAATTATCAATTAGAATCGCTTAGAAATTCATAGATCTTCATATAGATAACACACATCTCACTATCACAACTTACCACAAAGATCATTAAACTCATTGCATTGTCGAGACCTTTTCGCATGCATTAACGTGTATTTCAAAATAACGATCGAAACGACATCGAAATAAATCGATTTATCACCATGTACGATTGGTATATTTCGATTATATGAGATGAAGTTACTAAAAAAAAAAAAATGTAGTAATTGATTCGAGTGGTACGAGTCTGATCTCGATGTGTCTCGTAGGATTGCTGCCAGATCCTTGCGAAAACTTCAAGAAAAAGCGTTAAATCTCGTTCGGACTATAAGGAAGTTTGTTCCTCGTTTGTGACAAGGCTAGTCCATTTACGTTCCTACGGAATAATAATACGAGGATGAGAATATATTACCGACGATGGGTGCGTTGAGTTTTTTAATTTAATCAAATTCTCACTCGATATCGTGAAAATTCTTGCATTTTTAATATCGTGAAAATGGTGTGCAAAAAGTGTCTCGCACGATTGTTACATACGAGAGATGCGACAACTGTGGATTTTGTTAAAAAAAGGAAAGTTTAATAACTCCCGTACGTACGAGATCTGACGATACGAAAGAGACGGACCAACAAACTTCTCACCGCCGATATTGTCGAGTCAGACCTCGTACGTACATAGATAAATGACTCGATCGGTAACGCGCATAATTGTACACACATTATCGATCAATCGGCTCTCCTTTGACGTTAACGCGTTATTACCGTGTACTATGCAGATACGTGGTTCGAGAGTTTACAACGGAGCGTGTTTTATTGCAGAAATCATTTCAATCATTTCGAAACGATCAGTCTTAACGAGACAACGCACTATGGAGCACTATTACTACTACTACTACTACTTCCGCGGAGCGAGGTCCCCGTACGCTTCGAAGAGTCGCATTAATACGAGTATAAGAATTGTTACGATCCACATCTTCGACTCGTCTCAAGTAGGATGTTTTTAACAGAATAAAGTTATATTGTTCGATAATATTATATAATATATTATATAATATAAAATTATTCAAACAATAACTTTTTCCTCTTTTAAAAAACGTCAACTTTCTTAATATATTCTCTCAATAATATAACCTAAACTTCAAGATACATATGCGCGCCACTCCTGTAAGTAGCGGCAGTTCCGAGTATCACCGACTACGCCATTATTTATATGACGTATACACAGAAACGTGTGTGTAATAATTTTTCGACAATTTTTCTTTTCTTTTCTTTTCTTTTCTTTTCTTTTCTTTTCTTTTCTTTTCTTTTCTTTTTTTATTTTTTTAAATATCTTTGTGAAACTGTGTGAAAGTATCGATCGTCGAATTAATTGATTTTGGATTGATTAACTACTCGTTAAGCCATAAACCACCAGTTAGAGACCGATGGCAACGAGGTTGATGTTAAAAAGGCGCGCATCGGAAGAGAATTCCCCGTGGTTGACAGGGGTATCTGGCATTCTTGCGCCGATCAGCCATACTTAACGACGATGTTACACACGTGCATTCTGCATGCACGCACGTGATGCTGCATATTCATAAGTTGTGACCACGGCCGGCAACATTTCCGCGGCAAGCTTCAACACGTGCACCGAATAAATATTCTAGCTCTCTAATGCTCGACTAGAAGGCAATTGATCTCTTTTCTTTTCTTTTTCTTTTTATCCTCTTCCCGAAAGATCCGACATCCGGAGGTAGGTTTCGATTACTGGAAAGAAACATTGATCGATCATCGCGTGTACGCTACGCCCGGCATACTCTGTCACATTGCGTACGCGACTAACACGAGCATGATTTATCCTTTTGTGAACGTATATACTAGTTTTCTGAACTAGTATCTAGTTATATTTTATATTTTATGTCTCGTTTGTGTATTGGCGGGGATGGGGGGGATATTTGGAACAAGTTGCATAGAAAAAGAGAGAAAAAAAGGATTAAAAGACAACGTGAGAAATTTCTATATTATACGACACCGTTTGACTTAAGAAAAAAAAAATGAACTCGATTTACGCATGCACTCGTATACTCGACACTCTTATCTTTTCCACTCTATTTGTAATAATCTATCTGATCGATAATAAAAATGTTAAATGTACACACGTTTATTAACGTCAAATTTTTGTTTTCTTTTTCCTTAAGACGCGTCGTTATCAGACGTTATAATACACATGGTATAATACTATACTACTTATACATAATCACATTTATATCGATTTTCTCTATTTGATCATGTCTATTGGATTTTTTAACCAGTAACAAAATTTCTTTTTTCTTTCTTTCTTTTTTTTTTTTTTTTTTTTAATAAGAAATTGATAAACAGGCAGATAAATAAAAAAATGGACGATATCCATCCCCGTTCTTTTGTGCGTTGTAGGGCAGTGTCCACGTTGAAAAAGGGGGAGAAATCGGTGGCAACGAACGGCGTGAAGAACCCTCAGGACGACGATAGCTGGGAAGTAGCCACAGGTAATGACCTCGAATTATCATCAGACTCCATCATCCCTTGCCCCTATCCCCACGAACGATCGAGAGCAACGTCGGGGCCTCGTGGAGGTAATCACGAGGCCGACGAGGCGCTCTTCCTCGAGCAAATGAAGGTCGTGCAGAGAATCAGATTAAAGAACAGTCTTAGCTTGCCCACGGATTTGCGGAACGATCGGAAAAAGGATGCGGTGCCGAAATACACTATATTGAAACGTAACCCCCAGATATATCGTGACGATGTAACGGCGACGGCCAAGGTGGACGCGGATGCGGAGAGAAGCGTGTCGAAAAGTATCGAATCTCTGTCCACCACCACGTGCCACCCGGACGCCAAGGACGATCGTTACAATTCGTTTATATCGGGAGCGAGTAACAACAATTCTTGCTTCAAGCAGGAAAAATCGTCGAAGAAAGGTCGAATCGCCGATAAGGGCACGGTTGTAACCACCCACGTGCACGCTGGGGGTGGTGGTTGTGGCAACAAGTCGGGTATCCAGGGAAGATCGCCCGTCCCGGCCAAGTGTAATAATAGTAAAGATGGCCAAGAATATCACGTGGAGCCCGCGGACACGTTGAGGAAAAGGGTTGGTGGTGGCCCAATCCCTTCGACGAGTACCGATTTAAATTATCGTGGGAAAAGGCAGTCGAGAACGAAATTCTGCGGCTCGAGAAATAATTTCAATAAGGAGAGGGGGTGCCCGGACGACGAGAGGCAGAATTGTTCTCAGAGATGGCCTCGGAGGAGCAACGATGATCGAATCGAACGGCGATTCAATAAAGGGAGGCGTTTGTTCATAATATTGGTAAAAGTTTTGGGTATAATTTTCCTTTATTATATCGTGATTAAAACGGATTGAAAAATACCGGGAGGCGAAACTTGATCCATTTTTGTTCGAGTTTCGAAAGACAATGAGAGAGACGATTACAGCAGCTCGGTTGCCGATTGAATCGTGATTCGATCGTGTTGTTCGACGGCTCGATCGTGATGTACCACGTGTAAATTTATTTCATCTGCGTTCTTTTTTCTCTTTTCTTTTCTTTTCTTTTCTTTTCTTTTTTCTTTTTTTTTGTCCCTCTTTTTTACTCGAAAATACGCGCGAATAATTATTTGATATATAATGTTTTTAGAAAAAGTACTTTTTTTTTTTCGCTCAAAAGAAAAAAAAAAAAAGCAACTTATCTTACCGATATATAAGTTTTTAATCGTTCGAACGTTGTTTTTTATATTTTTTACTTGTCGTATTTCGTATACCTGTATTTTCGTGGAGAATAATTTGCGTAACGCAAGATGAGGTACAAGCAAGATTTTCGTTTCCAATTCGCGAATATAATATAAAAGTGAAAAACTTGAATAGAAACTAGACGTGGCAATGAATATTAATGCGTAACAATCGAACGAGAGAGATCGAAGATCGAACGAGAGAAACGAGAATATTTTAATAAGAATAAAATATAATGGCATCTCACCATAATTCATCATTCTATCATTCAACATTTTTAGGAATAATAGTTGTTAAAAGTTGTAGATTTCGTGTGCACGAGTAGGTATTTTTTTGCTTTTAGAGGAAACTATTTACGTGGAGCGTGTTTTTTAAAAAAAAGTTACATACATACCTTTTACAAGAAGTTACAAGAATTTTTACAATTTTTACACATTTTTACATTTTATTTAAGTAAACAACTTTTATATATTTTTCGATACGAGGTCTTTTACATCTTTTATTTATTGCGTATATACGAAGAATAACAGAGACGTTTAAGACTTTAAACGAAATTATGTATACTCAAGAAAAACAAAAAAAAAAAAAAA